CGCGCTGTTCCGGCGGCTCGGGGCAGCCTAGGCGTCTTGTTTGATGTCGCCCCCCTCTTCCCCCCGCCCTTCCCCGGGCTTGGAGGCCGCTGAAGGCCTGGCACACATTTCTCAGACACTTCATTCCTTCCTTCCTCCCAGCTCCCCACTGAGATAATGTTGTAAATGATTTCACCAGATCTCGTCCCGGCTGAGATTAGGCGATTCCTGACTCTGGGTGACCTTGTGCAAGCCCCCCTCTTCCTTTCATTATGGAACCCACTCTGTGCCCGACAGTGTGTTAATCCCCCGGATTACCACGTTGAGAGAGACAGTGGCAGCCTACAAGGAGTTTCCAGTCCATTCTGGAGGCAGACAGACCCTGATTTTCTGATTGATGACTAGGCATTCCTCTACCGTTCCTTTTTCTTTGGGCTTAGATGATGGCCGGAGAGATCAGGAGAACCTAAAAGAAACACTAGAGCACACATGTGTGGGCAACAGTATTGGTCTATTTGGGGATACAGGGATGCCTAAGATAGGTATTACCCTCAGGAAGCCCACAGACGAGAGATACTATATTCATAAGGGCAACTAATGTCTATTTCCCATTATATTTCTCTGGTATGTCCTAGGTTCAATAGAGACAGTTTTTATATGTCTAGATCAGCACAACCTGGGGGTCGAACGACCCTTTCACAGGGGTCGCCTAAGACCATCGGAAAGCACATATATAATTACATATTGTTGTTGTGATTAATCGCTATGCTTTAATTATGTTCAATTTGTAACAATGAAATTGGGGGTCACCACAACATGAGGAACTGTATTAAAGGGTCGCGGCATTAGGAAGGTTGAGAACTACTGGTCTAGATAGAAGTAAAATGCTGAGGAGGTTTAGGGTGATTAAATTACTCATAAGTTGGGGTATCCTGGAATACTTCCTGGAGGAAGTGGCCTATGCTTTGTATCTTAAAAAATAGGATGAGGGGCATTGGAAATGTGGTGAGTCATGGGGCCGGGAGGATGGAAGTACCCATGGCGTTTAAGTCATAAGCTGTCGAACTTGCGGTCCTCATTCAGGGAAATGATTTGAACCCCAGGGTGTGTGACTGGGAGGAGTATAAGAAGTGACTGAAGGAGGAGGCTTGAAGCTATGTCACAAGACCCTTAGATAAAGGACTCTGGACTTATCTTTAGACAAGGGAAGGCTATAAAATGCTCTTGAGCAGAGAAGGGACATTAAGGTTCTCCTATACAAAGATGGCTCTGGCAAAAGTGTGGAGAGTGGGTTGTAGGATTTGAAGGCAGAGAGCCCAGTTAGGAGGTTCAAGCCAGTAAAGGAGGTTCCTAAGTGACAGGTGTAGGCTGATAGTCTCCCGGAAGCACCTGCCCAGAACCAGCTCACCTGGGCATTGACTGCACACTGTCCAGTGATCCAAGTTTAGTGGAAACCTGCCTTCCCTTTAATGTACCCCCTGTGGCCTGGAGTCTAAGGAATCATTGTGATTTTGACCATATTTACCTTCCAAGCCTCATTTCCACCTTTCAGGACAGCCCTCAAGTCTGCAGCCAAATCTTAGCTCATTGCAGGCTTGATTTACTCACTCTTGCACCTCAGGCTACTCTGAGAGAGAGAGAGAGAGAGAGAGAGAGAGAGAGAGAGAGAGATTTCTTAACATTGCAGAGCAGGCTGTGCCCTATCATGTTCTGAAGAAATGATGAACAATGTCTCCTTTGTTGACCTGCAACCTGGGCCAATGGGGTAGTACTTTGTTTTGTTATTTTAAAGAGATGGAAAAGTGATGATGACAGAAAATTGTCTGTTGCTTTTGAAAATGGTGGTGTTTTCCTGTGTGTTTGAAATCCTCTTGGTGAAAGGTGATGAGCCTATGAAGTTACCCTCCTTTCTGCCATGCAGACGTTGTAGGCTTCTTAAAATGCTTCTGCTCAGCATCCGACTTTTTAAAAACTGCCTAAATACTCTGACCCAGATTCTTCCAAGGAACTCAACTCTTCCAGGGAAGCATGTTAACCCTTTCTAGGTTCCCCCAAATTTATGAGAGTCAGTAACTTCCTCCAGGAAGCTCTGCTATTGACTGCTGTCTGCTCTTGGGCCCTAATTAACTAGCTGGGTATACCATTCCTGTCCTTTCTAGCCTAAAAGTCTTTTATTTTTGGTCTAACTTCCATCTCCTCAGGATTGGGCACCCTGAAGGTGCATGGAGAATGTTGAATGAGTATTGAATATAGTCAAGTTAGGGTCTCACTGCAGTGCCTACAGCAGCCTCCTCAGTCAGATAGTTAATCAGCAACTTGTTTCTGGATACTTTAGGAGTGCTTAGATTGGGAGAATGAGCAACTAACTCACACACACACACACACACACACCACACACTTTTAGATAGACAGAGGGGTCAGTTAAGTAACCAAAAATTTGCCATGAATTTGTGTTTGGGCCAAACAAACAAAGATAAAAACCAACCCAGGAAGTTGCTGGCCCTCCACCCTAACTGTTTAAGAAGAAAGCTTCTTTGCAAATGTGCTCACAGACTATTTTTCAGTATCCTTTTCCTGGGCAGCGAAAATAGCACCACGTTGACACACTCTCCACCCCTTTCTCAAATGGAGAATTAAGCTCCTAAACTCGAGAAAAGACTTTGGCTTTGGAAGGCTCCTCTTAGATCGCAACGGCCTTTATTTTTTCAGTCATCCTCCTTTCTCTCCCAAAGCAGAGAGAATATTGGACCGTGTTCATCAGCGGTCACGTCTTTGATCCCACTGTGAGACCAGCAACTCACAAGGCGTCTTTGCTACTGTATCATGCCCCGTTATTAGGACCAGAGGCTGCTGTGTTTCCTCTGTCCCCTTTTCTGCCCCCAAGAAGGGCTATTCTCTGTCTTATTGCTTCACCTGTTTGCTTTAAACCTTAAAACAAATAATGCAGCTACATGTAGTGAGACTCCCCTTTGTCCTGGAGTATCTGAATGATTTGTGGGTTTGGTTTAAAGTACAGAAAGGAGAGAGAGCGAGAGAAGAAGAAAAAAGGTATTTTGCCTGAGGACTTGAAGGTCCCCTCCTCCCCCCGCCCCTTTTCCTCCGCTTGACTGACTTTCTCACACTCAGATTCCCTGCAGCCTGCCAGAGACGTGGTCGCTGCCCTGCCAAGAGCTATCTGGGAGAGCTATTGAAAGAGCCTTGAGTAAGTACACACTGGGCGGATTTTCTCCTCCCCTTGGTACCTGCTCCGCACCTGTACCAGGAGCAGTCCCACACATATCACCTGATCGCAGCCCTTTCAGAGACCGTGAGAAAAATAAAGTCCAGGATAGAAGAGATGTTTGTCGCCTCTCCAGGGCTGCAGCCGGCTCCCCGCAGTCCCAGTGCCCAGGAACAGCACATTCCAGGCCTGCGGTGCTTGCCTGTTTGCCTGTGCGCGTGCGGAGTGGGGGCACCACAACAGGAAGGGGAGGGAAGCCTGAGATCACCTTCATAATGTCTGCCTGGCTGCCTTTGTTTTCTGGCACCTGTCTGACTGGTAGTTTTATGATCCTTTACTAGAATCATTATTATGGTTCTTCTAGACAAGAGTCCATCTATGCACGTCACAGCAGAATTCATAAGTGGGACTTCTTATCTAAGGTTCATGGACGAACTTCCAGAGAGCCTATAAAGCCCATGAAATGGAATTCAAAATTGTTCTCCATGAATACTTTTTGAAAGAATGAATGGATGTGCTATTTTTTTTCCCCTGAGGTGAGGGTCCATAGCTTTCAGCAGAATTTCAAAACATTTTGTGACCCCAAAAGACTGAGGGAACTGAGCCAGACAGTCTCCACTTACAAGTGGATACCCAGCTTCAGGGAGGGCAAGGGACTAGCTCAAGGGTCCACAGCACCGTAAGCCAGAGCGGGGCTAGCCACCAGCTGGGAGCTCTTTCCATCACACCACAGTGCTGTGGTCCTGGGTCAGTTTAGGGTAGGTTTATAGGGGGGCTGTCCCCACCAAAGCCTGGATTGAAAATGGACACATTAATAAAGACACTTTGAATTTCCAGAACTTTTTCTTGGTCTTAATTCGGAGACACTGGAGTTGCTCTGCACCCAGTTTTTGGATGGCAAAGGGATAGGCTAGAAAACCAGGTGTCCAGGCAGAGAAGGGGATTCCCTAGAGCTTGGAGCAAGAGTCCTGGTTGCCATGCGGGGGCATTACAAACAACGGCAGCTCTGCATTCCACCTTTGATAAAAATAAGTCGCTACTTCTGAACAAAACTGCTTAGTTGGTTTCCAGCCAAGCTGGGACCTTGGACTGCTAACTGCGGGTGGAGGTGGAAGACAGAAGCTTTCAACATTGGCTAACAGCAGCCTGTAGTGCTTTCTGCCACCCCCACCTCCTCTTGGAAAACTCGGCTAGAGCCAGAGAGACCACGGGAATGTGCGCTTTCTAATGGGCTCTGAAGAAGGATGGTTGCCAAGAAAGTCTTTCCCAATGGGGTGGGGGCAGGGCGCCCTTAACTCCCACGTTTGGCCTGGCCTCAGCAGCGTG